GTTTGCTAAGACATGTCTTGGCCCGAGGCTTTCAGCGCCAATGTAATTCAGAAGTTGCTCGATATCCTGCAAAAAAAAAAAACACAATGATAAAAAAAAAAAAGGAATATGAAGTACATTCGTATGATTTCTGATAGCCACATGTTCCAGGTGGTTGCAGTAAACAAATGTTTCTTTTTTTCCTGGAAGAGGGGTATAGATCTTTATGCATTTATCAATTGCTCTATGTGACACTATTTTCTTTGTTGGATTCTTTGTTCCTCTCCGCTTTATATGTTGTTCAGAAACATGGTAACATCTTTGTGAGCAGACACTTTTGGTACTTCCACATCATGCTATCAAATTCAGTTAACATTGATTTCTTATCCTAGACTCATTCACCCACTCAAGATCCAAACCACAGGTAGATCCTGCCCAAATTAGTATTCGAGACCACCTATTTGTTTACTTGAGGCTGAATCAAGCTTCAAGGGGATTTGCAAAACAGAAATAGGCAGACCTTTCTTTCAGAAAACATCTTCCAAGGACCATTATCAATGTTATTAAATGCTCACTTCACATTAAAATATCAAATAAATATCCAAATAGCAAGAAGACCAACCTTGTTCAACAAGAATATCGCATATGCTGATCTTGTTGTCTCCTGGCTGTCAAGAAACAGAGGGAATTCCATTGTCCTCATGCTTGTGCTAGGAGGGACAGAAGTTGCTACTGAGCTTATAGATGATGGCTCAACTGAAGGCGCAGGATCAAGAACATATGACCGTGAACCTCCAAAGCGCAAAGGATATCGAAGAGGAACATTGAGATATGATGCAATGAGGGAGACTGCCTATGATTCATAACAAACACAGTTAGGTCTATCACCATAAAATAGAGTACAAACTGAAGAACACTGTTCAGTTACAAGTGTAACCTAATCAGAATCTATATTCTTTCTAAAACAGAACAAAAAATATAAAAAATAATATTCTCTAGCAAAGAAATCAGAAATACTAGATGAATGTTGAATGGTGAATTCAATTATCATTTGATAACAATAATTAATCAAACTATATTATACATACATGAGCAGCATATCCCAGAACAGTCGAAGATTTCTGAACCTCTGTCTTGTCACTGAAGTAGCCAGTCTTTTTTACAGAAAGCTTTGATAACTGTAGACCCAATATGACCAAAGGTCTGTTCTGGGAGCCATTTGGCAACACTGATTCAGCATTTCCTGAAAAAAAAATTATAGTATTTAAGTTTTGACAGAATTGCAGAAACGACATTTAAGGACAAAGAGTCTTAGGGCAGGTAAACTGGCAGCAATATTTTGGAGAACTAGTTCTATATCCATTAAGTCTGACAAAAATTTAAAAGTTTCATGTCCCAAATACCTCTTTCAGTATCTTAGAAAAGTTTTCAAGCAAGCGAGTTAACTGTTGGCAATTGTCTCCACAAATGAAACACTTGTTACCATCAATTTCAGCAATTTGTATTATCAAATGTACTATCTGGCAACTAGGAAATTGTAGCTTAGCCAATAATCAACTGTAATCGTATGCTGATATGGCCATAATTATAACAATTATTTGCCTATCATCTGGCTGTCCCCTATTTTTCGGTTATTAAGGTCTGTTATTATTGAACAACAATGTTTACAATAATTTTATTGTCCAAACCATAAAATTTTATAGCAATTCTGAATATGAACTGAAACCCCATGGAAGTTGCAATGCAGAAAATGACATACTTGTTTTGGTTATGTTGGAGGTAAATCCAGGCTTGTGATCTGAAGATTGTTCATCCAAAGGCCTCACAGGATATATCTGAGAAACTTGAGCTATCATATATTGCTGCCTCATCCGTAACTTCTGTTCCAGATTTTTAAGGCGCCCACAACCATTTTCCCCTGACAGCAATTTATTAGCTTCCTATAACCAGAAAAATGAAATACTCTGGTAAGATTAGACTTTAGAGGAATAGAACAGCTCCATAGTATCCAGTTTGAATGTATAGGAAAATTTATCTGCCCTAGAATCAACATTTTGTGAACCCAAAAGCACCAAGCAACACATTTAAGAGTACATCCTACACAAGTTAGACAAGCCATCAAGGAAGCTACTTTGTACAACCACCCTGTGAATTTTTGCAGCACTTTGGTTTGGTGCTGACAGTATCCATAGAGCTCAAAAGGGAAAGAAAACACAACAATTGTACCTTCAGATTACTGTGCGCAGCGTCTAGACCCTTGCTTGCCACTGACAACGTTCTGATCTTGACACAAAGCTGTTCCCTCTGATCCACAACACCCTCCGACAATTTCTTCGTGCGCATCTTCAGATCCCCCAGACGATCAGTATGCTCTTGAAGTCTCTGCCTCATTTCAGCCAACTCATTGTCCTGCTCGAGAAACGTCTGGCGAGCCTGTCAACGAACACCACTACGTTACAAATCTGCAACATTCTGGTATACACACACGGGTAACATGAGCAAAATACATGGAGAATGACCCCATGGACGCTGTTCAATCAGTTCCAGGACACGCGTCCCCAAGATTTGGGAATGCGGGTTTCTCTCTTCTCTACATCCCAAGCACAACCAAAGGTTGGGAAAACGAATCCGATCTTCCCAATTAGGGACCGACAAGAGAAGCGCGAAGATCCGTGGAGAATCGAATGACAGACAGAGGGCACAACAGGGGATCCGAGCAATTCGCTAGGAAACAAGCAAGGAGCGCGCCACCTGAATCGAGAGGGCCCACTAACAAATTACCTGTAGCGTGGACTCGAGGCGCGCGGCAAGGTGTGCCTTGCGGTCCCCGGGGGGCTGGAGCGCGGCGGAGAGGCTCCAGAGGCGGGCGAGCTCCTGCTGCAGGTCGTCCCAGTGGATGACCTTGGGCGCGTGGGCGCCCTCGACCTCGCTGGCCGGCACGAGCACCCAGCCGTCCCCCTCCTCCTCCGGCGATTGCGGGTGCGGGGGTGGGGAAGGGGGAGGGTCAGGTGCGGCGGACGACGGCGCCGGGTCCTCCATCGCCGCGGATCATGCCCGCGGGTGAGGGGTCGGGGGAAGGCGCGAGCTTCGCATGGGCCGGCGGAGGGGGCAAGGGGGCTCGTTGCCTTGTGGTAAGGTTTGGGGGCGCTCTGGGAAGCAGGAGCACGAGTGCGCCGTCGGTTCCTTCTCCGGCGAGCCGCGGCGACTGCTTTCGGTTGGGTTTGGTTTGGTTTGGTTTGGCCTGGCCTTGGGGAATCGTCGTCGTTGGTGTTGGTGGGGTCCATCTCGTGGGAAGCAGGCCTACCTATGGCCCGTTGTCCCACTTTGGGCCCAGTACTTTGCCTAGCTTGGGTTGGGCCTAACTTTTCCGTTTTGCGGCCAATTTGAGCAGGAACAGTGATGATGGGTTTGGCCCTAACTTTCTTTCTGTTAATCTGGTTGGCCCACAAAAACTTGCAGCTTTTTTTTACTGTCATGGCAGTACAGAGCCAACACAAATTCGATTCGCAGTTTCAGCTTTTTTTTTTGCGAAAGAACCTTGTTATTTTATATATATATATATAACGAAACATGCGTACTGGTCTTGGAATGGCAAATAGTATTCGCCCCGTTCGTTTGGGCTTGTTCGGCTGATAAGGCATGGCTGAAAGTACTGTTGGCTGATTTTGTGGGAGAGAAAAATACTGTTCGTTGACTGATAAGACATGGCTTATAAGCCAAACACGACCAAACGAAAACAGGCTGATGGCCTGTTTGGTTGGATGACTCCCAGTCGAAGATGTTGTCCAGCATCGATCTCCACTCCAGGTGTACAAAATCGGACGCCGGGGCAAGCCCCAAAAGTGTGAATACAAATGTTCTCTTCAAACCGAGTTCTGGCACTCGATCAACAACAAGCTGAAACATATACGAATTTGGTTGTAGGATTACACATTAGGCAAAGTAATAAACAGTTGCAAAACAGCAATATCTTTAAACCAAAGCAGTTGAGTGAACTAATGTCAAATATATGAAGAAATCCAGTTTACTGCCAACAAGCTGAACTATATACAATAGAGTATAACTGGACAAATTTATTGTCAACTAGATGTTCAGAGTTCAGACATACATAGTGCCTAGCAAATACAAACAATAACGAACTAACGGTCACTATGAAGTTCAGTTTAATTTTTGCAAACGGTCTTAACAAGATCCGATAGCACTGTCAGAAAATTGGAATACCAATCATACTTAAGTGATCTCTGCAACTCTAAGCTCCTATCTGACGTCAGCGAGGCTTGACAGTGGGTTAATTGTTCAGTGAGCACAACTAGGAGTATCTTGAAAAGGAGTATGTAAACAAGCCGAGCATGCCTCAAAACCATGGTTCACTAAACTTATTAATACACGTTATGAATTCCGTCCCACGTAGAATAATATATCAATGCCATGTGCCACAAATTCAGAGCAGAGTTTTAGGTGAGAATAAGTGAGGCACAGCAGACGTGATGGCCTTAGTTGCAATCGGGTTCTTATCGAGAGCCAACAAGTACCTGTTGTTACAATGCACAAGCGCGATTCGAACGGAGTGAGGTACAGTTGGATTGGATTCTCAATTTCACGCAGAAAATACTGAAGCGTGGTTGAGTCACCATGCCAAGAAGACCCTCCAGCCTTTGCCGACGCCACCGCTTCCTGCCGCCGCAGTGGAGCCGTTGCAGCAGGCGGCGGCACGGAGCAAGGTGCAGCCGTGCAGGCTACAGCGTTTGCGCTGGCGGGTGGCGGCTGGGGTGGTGGAGAGGGCGGCCGGGCGGGGAGGACGAAGCGCGAGGCGGCGGGAGTGGAAATGAGGCGGCGTACGGTGGGCCCTCGCGGAGATTGGGATAGGCCGAGGCGCCCCAAGCAGCATCCGGAAGGCGGAGGCCATCGCCATGGATGCCGGCGAGCTCTGCTGCCTGCTGCAACGGAAGAAGACGACGGGGTAGAGTTTTGGGCTTTCCACGCTGGGTTTCTGCGATGGGCTCTCAAGCCCGGTGCCAGCAATGGGCTCTTTTGGGCCTTTTTCTTGTGCATCCCATTTACCTTCACACATCCATACCCAGCAAGGGAGACTTGCCGTCCATTCCATTTTGTCGCGGTTCTTCTCAGCGGCGGCGGCGGCGGCGAGGCCTCTGCGAGACTTCCAGATTTTCCCGACGGGGAGGGAGCCTCCGCAGCGGAGCGGATCGGCGGAGAGGGGGGAGATGTCGTACATGCGGGGTGACCTGCTGACGAAGATGCGGAAGCTGGTGAAGGGCCTCGCCAGGCCCGAGCCCAGGTGGCTCAAGGCCATGGAAGAGTCAGTGCTCTCGCTACGCCAACCTCTCTCTCTTTCCCCGTCCCTAGCTGTGCATTTACACTTGCATTTCTCGAGTGGTCGGCCCATCCGTGACGCCGTTAGCGTCAGGACAATTGATCATTTGATTGCTGTTGATGGCTTCTCTTAGGGTTCTATGCATTCTGTGAATAATGGATCTATAATTTGTAGTGATAGCGATGTAGTAGTAATGACACGATTTTGTGCTGAAACCGCTGTGTTGGTTCCTATATGTTCTCTAAATAAAACCCTGAGCCCCATGGTATTGCATATAGATGTGATTCTTGACTGTAGTTTCTGTTGCCGTCAGCTAGTTTCCTATGTGTTATGGTGCTTCGTTTGGTTCAGTTGTGCTAAATTTGTATATTTGCATAAACCGAAGATGGCTACTGAGTCTATGTATGCTTAGTGACTTGTTTAAAAGTGTCTTTATCATTTGTCTCATGTAACATTTCCGTTCTTTTTCATCATGCTGCTTTCTGGTTTACTGAAACAAGTGGCGCTTGTTTATTAGGGCACCACCGGTGACATTTCCTCGCCCAGAGGGGAAGATCAAGAAGATCGAGTTTCCTGAGGATGTGTATGTTAGGAAGTTCAACAAAAAACATCCGGATTCGCTCTACCATGATGCAATCAAGTAAAATCCTTCTCTTTTCTTATGTTATTTCCTTATAGAAACGTGATCCTGCAACGCTGTATAGTTAAAATAGTATTCGAGGTTTTAATTTTCATGTTTTAATTCCGCTTTTCTGTTTGGAGATTTGCACGGGTTCCATTTGTATTGTACATCCTTATATGGGACATGCTTGGCCTTCTCATTGAAGCCTGATAGTATCACGCAATTTATGAATGCTGTTATATAATTGTTGGATTAGTGAAAACAGTTGATTATTACAAAGGATGCACAGTTGCAAATAGATTAATGAGGTTCTTGAATTTATTGAGTAGCGTTGTTCTTTTGAACATTCTAGTATTAGTTTGGTACCTTGGCGACTATCTTCAGCTTCCATCTGTCGGCTACTGCTTGATAAATGACTCTTTTTCGGTCCGACTACTGATGGCATTACTGTTTTGATCCTATTCTCTGGAATATTTCGTCTCTATTTCTTGGACTTGATTTATTTGAGTTTCTCACTCTGAACACAAGATGTATTGTTTATCCATCCTTTTCAGGATAAGTGGATTTGATCCACCACCAGCTCGAGTTTTTGCTTGGCGTGTCCTGGAGCTGAAAGAGCAAGGAGTCCGTGAAGATGATGCGATGGCTGTAGCAGATGTAATTTTTCTCCTATATAATCCTTTTGTTTATTTTTATCAAACACCATTAAACAGAAAATTCAATTCTGGGCCTCACTGTACTTAAATTTGAAGTTATGCTACCAGTTTTATTACATATATCTATTGTATAACCACCATCCTTTTTCTAGATGGAGTATCGGACACAGAAGAAAGCAAAGAAGAAAGCATACAAGGAACTGAAAGAAATTGCCCGAAGTGAAGGAAAGAAGCCACCTCCAAATCCATACCCAAGTGCCATAAAAGAAATACAAGCAGAGGAAAAGAAATATGTTATGGATCGTTTATTTAACCCGAAGGTAATTGAGATTGCAAACAAGATGAAAGAGGAGAGAGACAAGTTGCGTCAAGATAGAGCAGCAGGTCAATGGTAGTAGCAGGTATTATTTGGACTGGTCGACTAGGTATGTTTATGACATACGGTCAACTGTCATCATACATAATAATTGTTGCTTATTTGAAATTGATATGGCAAACATGAAACTCATGTGTTTTTTATTCGTATTTTTGTGATTGTAGATGGCCTCTGAAATGCAGTATTTGTCCATACTAGCTCATTCCTCTTGGCTCTATTTCCTTGTATCTTGTTTTTCAAACATCATTTTTCAGTATTTTCTTAGAAGTTCGTGAGTTTTGCCCTCTTGGTCTGATGCTATTTGGATGGTTCTTGTGCACTTAGCATGACTGCTTGAGAAATACTCTGATGTTGTGGAAGCTTAATCTGATCATAGTCCAATTGGGTCAAGATTAAATGACATCTTTTTTCTACAGTAGCAATTAGCCATGATATGATAGAGCATATACTCCTGGCCTATCATTTGGAAGTTCTCTATGTACAGATGGGGAAAAGGTTTCTCATCAAGCTGATAAATTGAGATGTATTTTGCTTGCTTCAGAAAGTTTTGCTTATAGCTGATATAAGTAAGACTAGATCAAATCAGCAGTTGCATTGTGACATGTTGGCAGAATGTCAGTTTCCCTTTTTCTTGGCTCTTGTATGTTGTGCATGTAATTTCTGCATATCCCTGTGATGAACATTTTAGTAATCTGAGTGCTCATTCAGTTGGTGCTCCCTCCTCATCACTCTGATGGGAGGCTGAAGGAACCAATATCTCTGTATACACTGTTGAGATGTGGCATTCTGAGGGATATGATTGAGTTGTTGATTGCTCTTAACATTCAAGATGTTTTGTTTTAAAAAAAATTACTATAAGAATTTATTGTGATCTTTTTGTTTTGTTTTGCCTAGTTTAAATTTGCAATGCTCTTAACATTCAAGACATTTTTTTTCTTCATTTTTTTACTTTAAGAATTTCTTGTGATCTTTTGTTTTTGTTTTCCCTTGTAGTTTAGTTTTGCACAATTTTCTTGCTGTGCTTAAAATATGGCACAAAGGTTGCTCATTTATTGTGCCTAGAAGATGACTATTTCTTGATTCTGGTGTGACCTCCGTATATCTGTGCTTATACTTGTATATATACAGCTCTCTGTGATCCATGCAGCCCAACAAAGGCCACGTTTAGTTCAAAAAAATTTTTCAAAAAGTGCTACAGTAGTCATCACATTGAATCTTACGATACGTGCATGGAGCATTAAATGTAGACGAAAAAAAAATTAATTGTACAGTTTGGTTGGAAATCGTGAGACGAACGTTTTGAGTCTAATTAGTCAATGATTGAACACTAATTACCAAATAAAAACGAAAGTGCTACAGTAGTCAACTTTTCAAATTTCACCCGACTAAACACGGCCAAACTCGACAACTTCTATCTTGCTGTAAAGCTGACATGCTGTGGGTGTACTATGTGCAATGGATGCTGATGAGCTATTTAAACGGCTGACATACATACAGCGCCAAATAGATGGTCACCTATTGTTTAGCTATTATTTAAGCATAAATAAATGGCATATTAAATAAAAATGACTTGACACCACGTAACGTTTAAATTAGCGAAAGAGCTGCTTAGGCAAACAGTGCTGTAACTGAATAGATAGAGCTCACTATTCCAACCGGCCTCAGTAATCAGCTAGTTGACTGCATCAATTTGTAAACGAGATCGCGGCAAACACACGGATACCAAGGGCAATGTTTAATGTTTTGCAAACAATTGCACTATGTGATTAAACAATTACAGTATATATTTGATAAAACAGTCTTCAAATCTTGTAACATCTGTCATTCTCCCTCGCTGCAAATGATTCAGATTCAGAGTGCCAAAAAATGGAGTCACACCGTATACCTGTAACTATAACAATGCTATGTTTCTAAACGGGAAGAGTTCAGCTGCTGCGGCAAAAAATAGAGCCTTTCCACTTTTGTCCGTCACCAGAAATTTAGTTTCTCATCTCAGTCCCTATAGCACCCTGTGTTAAGAATAAAACCAGATATACATCATATGTGAGTTCAGGAACTCAAATCTCACATATAGCTATAAATAAGGGTAATATCGAAAGACAATGCTCAATATATAACGTACTTAGTATAAAGGGTATAACCTTTGACAGCAAACAGCGGAAATACAACTCCAATCTTCGGGTGAAGACTCTAATTCCACAGGGACAACTGACTGGTTGATCACATGCATATTTCCTTCAAACTCTAGCAATCTGGTATTCATCCGGGATTTTTATCCAAATAATTGAAAAATAAAGCAAGCGTAAGTACATGTCATACTCAACAAATATAACATGAGGTTCATGAGGCTCAAAAAGCTGACACTGATTTAATTGCGATTAGCTTTTAATGAGTCATGATTTTAGCAATTGAGTAGCAACAAGTTTATCCACAAGTCCATGTAAACACATGATCAGGTAAACATGAATAATGAATAGCAAAAACAATAATCATTAGTGAGCATCTTTATCATCAGTATCATCAGTGTTCATCATCTATTCCGTAAGGGTTCCAAAGCCGCTCGTGACCATGAGCACGGCTGATATACCAGTTTTACACTCTGCATAAGTTGTACACTTTCACTGTGAGTCGTGATTTACCCTTTCGCCCGAGGTGATCAGCCTCTTGACCCACTACCTAGGAAGGTCGGCATGGTTCACTATGAAGCATTTCAAAGGTCCGTCTAACAAGTTAGGACCATTAGATTCACTTGGCAAACAGATATAGGAACCCCTTCTCGATGGCACAATGACACGCAGCCTATACACAAGAGGATATATGTTGTCCTATATCCGATTCGGCAAGCCATTCTTACGCCATAAATGTAACCTCTAACCGGCTAGAAAAGGTCCTCATACTGTGTTAAAGTCAGAGCCACGTGGCCCTTACAGTTGTACTGTAAGTCCCGGATAATCACTTACAGATAAGTTCTTATGGAGATAAATCTAGAGCACCCTAAAATAGTCCAATGCTATAGTCACCTTGTTCCATGTTGCTAAAAACATCTTTTAGTGTTTATTGCATATACCATTAGTCAAGTTACAAGATCATGACTTTAGTTAAGCACTAGCATCATACTACCCAATGCAATACCCCATAGATAACAAGAAATCCAGGATATTAAATAGCTAGAAAAATTACTACGGTTACCAAGGTAGACACATGCATATGATTAAAGTAGTAAAGGTGTATAGGACAACAAGGATGATTCCATGCTATACTTGCCTTAAACTCAGATCATTCTTCTATTGAATTGTAACCTCCAAAGGACTTCTTCTGGATCACCAACTTCTTCTATGTCACCAACGCAAAGCTCGCCGACTGGACATGACCATAAAGCACCACACAAGCATTCATGCAATCATACACGAAGCAAACAATAGAACTAAATTAGAACAGTACACCAAACATATGAGCATATCAAGTAAAAAGGTTTTAAAGATGTTCTACACATTACTAAGATCACATAGGCACAAAAAAACACTCTAATCGGAGCTATAACGAAGAAGTTATGAATTAAAAAAGATTTTCTTTAATAAAATAATAGATTAAATCTAACCTCAAATTTTAAAAGTTGAAAATATATTTAACAATAGCTTGACACATGTAGATTACTCCATTACGAATCTAACGCAACTTGAATGGATCAAATCGGAGTTAAAACGGAGAAGTTATAGCCTAAAGAAAATTGTGGCAAAACTATAAATAGATGAAATCGTATTTTGGATCTACTAGAAAGAAACTATGCTTTCAAAAGAAGAAAACATATTATGGGAATACATTTTGGACCGCAGGTTAGAATACTGGGAAACTAAAGGACTCTTTTGCAAAAAAACCTCGGCGAAATGGTTTCGCCCGATCTCGGCCGTTGGATCTGATACGGATGGTCTAGATTACAGCAGAGAGAGAGAGAGAACGAGGGAGAGAGGCTACCGGCGGCGAGCTTTAGCGGCGGCGCCATGGCCGGCGCCGAGCGGTGCACGTGGAAAACGGCCTACGGGCCACGGCGGAGCGAACCGATAGCACGGGGAGCAAGAGGGCGCCACGGCGAACTCGTCAGTGGGGTGGAGAGGCCACGAGGGCACGGTGACAGCTGAAAGCTCTAGTTTAGTTTTGATTAATTGATGAAACCCTAAGTGCTAACCTAGTTTATCAAGATGTTTATGAGATAGGTAGCACTACTCCAAGTGATGAAGCAATGACGAAGATCATGACAATGGTGATAGCATGGTGATGATCAAATGCTTGAACTTGGATAAGAAGAAAGAGAAAAACAAAAGGCTCAAGGCAAAGGTATAAAATGTAGGAGCCATTTTGTTTTAGTGATCAAGACACTTAGTGAGTGTGATCACATTTAGGATAGATAACCGTACTATTAAGAGGAGTGTAACTCGTATCGAAATGCGGTTATCAAAGTGCCACTAGATGCTCTAACTCATTGCATATGCATTTAGGATCTAGTGGAGTGCTAACACCCTTGAAAATATTTGTGAAAATACGCTAACACATGTGCACAAGGTGTTTGCAGGGTTGAGATGGGTTTAGGTCCCTCTCTCCCTCCCGCCGAGAATTATGCATCCGGCGCAATAGAAAATAGACATTTCATTTTTCCAAAAGCGCTGAATCCCGCCTAGCTCGGCGGGATTCAGCGCTTTTGGAAAAATGAAATGTCTATTTTCTATTGCGCCGGATGCATAATTCTTGGTGGTTGGCACATTTGAGCAAGGGTGAAGAAGTTAGAGTTGAAATAGAGTTGGTCGAAATGATGCTGGCGTCGGTCTTCTGACCGGACGCTGGGTCACTCAGCGACCGGACGCTGAAAGGCTGCGTCCGGTCGAGCTGTTAGACGACACAGTGGGAAGGGTTGAGCACCGGACGCTGGTCTGCGTCTGGTCAAGGTGGACCGGACGCGTCCGGTCGAAAAAACATGCCTCGGGGAGCTTACTGGAAACGACCGGACGCTGGGGCTTCAGCGTCCGG